GTGTGTGTGTGTGTGTGTGTGTGTGTGTGTGTGTGTGTGTGTGTGTGTGTGGTGTGTGGTAATGTGCGGGTGTGACGAGCTGCCGTGTCAGGACCAAGCGACAGACGTTTGCAGCAAGGGCGGGTGGGGGCGGTGGTGGGGAGAGGGGGAAGGTGGAAGGGGGTGGGGATGTACACCTCCTTTTTGTATGATACAGGAAGGAGGGACCCCCTAGGAGAGGTTGGTGGAAGGGGTGGAGGGAGTGGGGAGGTGGTGGGCTGGTGTGGTGGTGGGAGGTGGGGAGGTGGGTGGAAGACGTCGTCTGTCGGTGGGTGAAAGTTGCCCCGCAGACTATCGTTTGGTAATGGGTGTTTTCGCGCCGACAATGGTTGGCAAATTTTGGGGTCATTTTTTTGGGTGGGGATACCGGACAGGCTCTCATATTTTTCCTCGTATGCTGAATGGTCATTGTGAAGCCACTCTCCTTATCTGCCAATGTGTAGGCGGCTGTGGGAGTTGAGATGCATTCCAGAGTACAGCAATGTTTGCGCTATTGCCAGTTCGTGGCAATGGTAGGGAGACTGCGAGCACATGCCTTGGCTGTGAGAGAGGGCAGCGAGGTGTGGCCTGTTTGTGGCGGATGTGTGAGATGTGACAGGTGGGATGTGAGCATGTAGGGGGGGGGACTGGGGAACCAAAATATATTAACTTCCACCGTGACTCTCCCGCAACTTCACCAAAGTTGCGGCCCAGCCGTCGTCGGTCGTCCAGTCCAGCGACCGTGGGCGATCGGGTGAGCGGAAGCAGGGCGGGGCGAGGAGGGCGTCAGGGCAGGGAGGTACGGAGAAGGAGCATTGTTGAGGAGCACACGTCGCCGTTTGAGTGAGAGTAGAGCGAGTAAGAGGGTTTGAGTATGCTGGGGTGGATAGCTGTGTATGACGCAGTGTTCATTGTCTCTGCCGTCTTGGGCACCTCCTCGGAGAGCACCTTTGCATCTCATACATGTTTGGCTTTGGTGGTCTCTTGGACACTCTCTTGGCTCATTGGTCTGTGTGATGGTAATGGCAATGATCATGTGGCCGATTATCAACTCAATCATCTTCATCGCTATCATCATCATCATCATCATCATCATCGTTACCAAACGACTTCTTCTGCTGCTTCTTCGTCTTCTTCTCTTCATGCTCATTCTTCTTTGGTCTCGCCTCTCTCTCGCACTGCCGCAACAACGACAGCAGCAGCAGCAGCTGTACCTTTGGCATCATCGTCATCATCGGCCACAAAGACAAGTCTATCCCCGGCGTGGCAAGTGACTCGCATGCTTGTGAGCACCGTCGAGGGGTTGGGCTGCTCGGGCAAAGGACGCCACGCCGATCGACGAGCAACAGCCATGTCAATGGTCGCTTCCTCGGTAACTCGGGGCGGCTGAGCGAGCACAATCTCGACAACGAGGATGATGGCGAAGCGAGCGGCGGCGGGAGCGGCGGATGGCGGAGCGATTCGCCGCTGGCACAGCTTGCAGTCAACGTCATTATTCTGGCGACAGTACCGGGCGCGTGGGCGTGCGGGCAGCTGCCGGGGCACATCCGTGGGCCGCTGATGCCGTTTCTCGCGGTCGGCTTTGTGATGGCGCTCTCGCTCCGAGTGCCACGGGCGTATTTGTTGACGTACAAGTGCGTGACGGGAGCGGGCGGGCTTGTGGTGACTGGGCTTGCTGGCTCGCCGCCACTTCTTGCGGCCGCGGCGCTTGTTGCGTCTGGACTGTTGCACGCGGCGGCAGTGCCGACGTTCCCACTCCATCCCGTGACGCCGGCGACGACTGCCGCGCTGATGATGCTTCTGGGTGTGTTTTTGGGCGCGACAGCGGCGCTGGGACAGATCGGCATGGCGATTGGAGTGTTGGCCGGAGCCGGAGCCGGGCTTGCCACGTTTATCTACCTGGTGCAGCTCTCGTGGTACATGCAGGCGGTGCGGAAGTTGAGGAGTCTCGTCCTGCGTGTGCCGCGACTGCCTGCCGCACATCCCGAGCTGAATGCCGTTTTCAGTGGGCTGGACAACGCGTACCAGGCGCTGTGCGTGGCGGCTGTGGCGGTGGACGATAGTTTGCCACGGACTGCGGCGCTATCGATCGCACGGGCGCCGCTGGCGGTCTGGCCAGACGATGTGGCGCTTCAGATACTCGCGTTGGGTATCGAGTGCTCGCGCTCGCCACCGCCACTGACGCAGGCGACTAAGAGCGCACTGGGGCGACTGCGGTCTGCAGCAGCCTTATCGTCTGACGCGCAGCTGGCCATGCTGGCAGAAAAGGTGCTACCGACGTTCAAGGCGGACCACTTGCTGCGTATGGCGACCCGAGCGGTGATGTCTGAGCCCGAAGATGTGCTCGCGGCGGCTGAGTCGACGTTTTGGCTGGCGATTTTTGACGAGCGGCCAGCAACCGAGGTAGTCTCGGCGGCGCTTGAGTTTGCGGCGGCGCGTGAACTGAGCCATGTTGCGCGGCCGCGGACGGACCTTGTGCGGCACACGTCACCGCGGCCAAAATCGTCTCCTTCGCTGCTCTCGCCGCAGCAGCAGCCGTCGGTGATGTCCCTGGAGACCACGTCTGCACACATGGTAAGTGGACAGACACCGGCAGAGCGGCCACGGGCGGCGCTAACAGTTGCTTTGGCGTGGTGGGCGCTGGCGGTGTTTGGCCTTGTTCTGGCGACGGCATTGGTGTTTGGCCACGGCCTGTTTGCGCGGTCTGCGCGGGTGGCGGTCGAGGTGAGCGACGCGACGCACATGCACGAGTGGGCAGCGCTCCACACGACGTTGCACGCACTAAGCCATGCTAAAAGGCCTGCATGGTTGAGCGAAGACGGACAAGAGCTTGTGGCGAGCATCGCAGATCAAGTCCGTGCAGTCGCAGCGGCGCTCGACCGCAAGCACGATGCCGAGTGGGAGGCCTTGCGGATGACGGAGCACATTTCGTTGGGGCGGTTGGCGGCTGCGGTGGGCAAGGCAAGCAGCGGGAATGTAAGCGTGATGGCGGACGCGCTCCGTGTGTCAGGCGTGGGTGATCTGCTGGCGTCGATTCAGGATGCACGTGTTCTCGAGGCCGACGAGCCGGAACTCGGACCTGTGGTTGGTGTCGGCTCTGTGGTTGCACTGAGCGCGGTGCTCTCGCTGCTGGCGCTTGTCATTTCGACGGTGCCTGACGTGATTGTGGTGCCTGCGTTGAGCCAAGGCGCGGCGCTGATGCGCAAGTACATGACGCAGCTGCGGGAGCTGGCACCGAGCGAAGTTGCGCGGCGGATCAGACGGAGCCGGGCCAAGTGCTCGGCCTCGCATGCGTGGGATGTGCCGGGCAAGCTGCCGATGGCGCTAGACGCTGCTGCACTGGATGATGACGAAGCGGCGCTGCGGACCAAGGCGCTCGGGGTTGTGGTCATGCTCTGCTGCTCGGCGGCAGTGTTTGGCATGCTCATGGTGTGGACGTGGTCGGTGCATGGCATGGCTGCGCGTCGGTGCGAGGCATACGCATCGACACTGCACACGGTGTCGTCGACGTACGCGATGGCGTTGACGGCAGGGGCAACGAGCAGAGTGCGGCGCGGGGTGTACAAGGCGTATGAGCTTGCGCTGGAGCCTGCAACGGCAAACCTGTCGTCACGGTGGGAGATGCTCGCGGCGGTGCCTTACGGGATCATAGCACAGCACGAGCAGGTGACGGTGCTGGAGACGCTGCGGCCTGTGGCGGTGTATGTGGCGGCACTCGAGGCGCTAGGGCGCGCGTCTTCTGTGGCACCGGACGAGGGGACGCTGTCGAGTCTGGCGGATGCGGCGCGCACAGCGGTGCTCGAAGGACTGAAGGCGGAGCTGGCGATAGAGGCTCGTGTGCGGTGGGGAGCGCTCACGCTGCCGGCGATAGCGCTTGTTCTGACAGGCGTCGCGGTGTGGCTCCAGCCGCTGCTTGCAGCGCACTACTGGTGGCTGAGGCGCCTGGAGGAGTGCAACAAAGCGCTGCAGGCGCTGGTGCCGAGCTCGAGCGGTGGTGCCAAGCGCAGCAGCGACATAAGCGCCGAGCTGGCGCTGAATGCTTTCGGTGATGCAGCGCTGGTGTGCGAGTACTCGAGCGCGGTGGTGATGGCCAACGCAGAGGCCGGGCGACTGTTTGGGGCAAGCAGTCCGGAGGAGCTACATGGTTTGCTCCTCTCCGAGCTGGTGTCTGACCCGAGTACGCCGCTGGATCTAGTGTCCAGCTCGTCGTCGCTGGCGTGTCGCGCACGGCGGCTGGACGGCACAACGTTTGACTGCCAGCTCTCGTGTGAGACGGGCGGCGCGGCTGGGTCGCAGCGTGAGTCGAACGGGTTCCTCTTTGTGACTGCGCGGGATGTGAGCTCGCAACGGGCGGCGTCTGTGCGCGCGTGCGAGTTTCTGCTTCGGTCGACGCCGTACGGGCTGTTTATGTGGGATCCGATGGAGGAGGAGGGCTGGTACTCGGAGGCTGTGTCTGACATCTTGGGCGTGCCAACATCGACGGATGCCTCGCCCGAGGCGCTGCTACAGCGGGCGCTGATGCCTGCGGACTGGATTGTGATCCAAGGCGCGCTGGAGGATCTCGCACGGCGGATGCAGGGCCGCGGGCGGCGGCGGCGGTCAACCAAGGGCGAATCGTGGCCGGTGTATGTGCACCCAAACTTGTCGGCGCGGTTTGGCAACAAGCTCACTATGGACAGTGTGCTTTCTGCGCATCCTGAGCTCCGCGAGCGGTCTATGGCACAGTCGCCGTGCTTTTCTGCGCTTGTGCGGATTAGCGCTGGGCGTGCTGTGCGGTACGTTGAGCTGTGCGTGACGTACCGGAACGTGGTGCTTGCAGGCTCGCTCCACGACGTGACGGCGAGTGTGACACGGGCGCTGTCGATGGGCAGCGGCGAGGCTGAGCCGTCGTCGGGCGTTGTGCTCTCGCACCACTTTCTGGCCGAGGCCTCGCACGAGATTGTGATGCCGCTGCACGCGATCATCTCAGCGTCGACAGCACTTGCGGCTGCGGATGACGGCAACGAGCAGCAGATGCGATTTGCACAGTCTGTGGCGTCATGCGCGCGGCAGCTGCAGAGTCTGCTGTGGGACGTGACGGTGTACTCGCGAATGGGCGAGGGCAAGCTTGTGTTCCAGTCGCATGCATTCGAGGTGCGGCCGCGGCTGGCGCACACTCTCGCGTTTGCGGTGGAGGCGTGCGCGGAGAAGGACGTGGAGCTTGCGGTTGTGGTCGACCCGCGGCTGCCGCAGACGCTCAAGGGCGACGGGTCGGCTCTGGCCAAGGTTGTGGAGAACGTGGTGCGGGCAGCGGTGCGGCGGACGAGTCAAGGTGTGGTTGTGGTGGAGGCGATGGCACAGGACCAGCTCGAGGCCGGGTCCGAGCTTGCCGCGTCGCTCCCTGCCACCGCGCAGGAGACAGACAGTGACGAGATCATGCTTGTGGTGCGCGTGGCCGAGACGTCGCCGGGCCTGTCCACGGCCGAGTCACAGGCGCTGCTGGGCCACATGCAGTCTGTGGGCGGCGGCGACACGCTTGCGCTCACCATCTGCCACCAGGTGGTGACGATGATGGGCGGGAAGCTTGGGGTGGCGAAGGAGGCCGAGACAAGCTCTGTGTGGTTCACGCTTCCGATGGAGGTTGTGGAGTCGTCGCTGACGTCGTCGGATTTGATGACAGTCTCGATGTCGCGGCAGGCCGAGCTCGATGGCGAGGGCGAGCGAAAGGGGCAGCGGGGCGGCGCAGCACTGGAGCTCGAGCCGTCGCTGGAGCGGGTGCTCCTCTTCCACCCTATCCCGGCGATGGTTTCTGCCCTCACGACGGTCTTCCGGGCACTTTCACTCGACTCGGTGGTGGCAACGTCGCGGGTGGAGTTTCTCTTCAAAGCGTCGACGGTGGGACGGCGAGGAACGGTATTTGTCATCGACGAAGGCTCGACGTCGCTCAACATGGCATGGGCGCTGTCCAAAGTGGCGGCAACGTACCCGGACGTGCCGATGGTGCTGATGTGCTCGGAGAGCTCTGTGTACCGGTTCGAGGCGATGCTTGGACCGCTGGCGGCGACGGTGACCAAGCCGCTTACCTCGTTTGCGCTGCTTGAGGCGCTCCACGCAGTGAGTCGTGCGGTGGGCAAGGGCGGGGCGACGTCGCTGGCGGAAACACCAGGGACAAACGCCGTCTCTGAGTCGGACTTGATGAACATGCTGCAGGCGGCGACGACCGAGTCGCTGTCGAATGACGGGTCGGACGTTCCAAACGGGTCACGGAAGCAGTCCAGAGGCTCCAATCGGCGGAAGAAGAAGCGGCGGCGGCGGCGGCGGACGTCCAAGGGTCTCGACGCCATGTCTGGCAAGAGCACGACCGAGGCTGCGGCAGGCGACTCGTCGCTCGCGCGCGACATGGTGGAGAACGGCAACCGCAGCGCGGGTGGAGCGAGCAAGGGCCACGTTCTGCTTGTGGAGGACGACACGGTGAACCAGATCATGGCGACGGTAATGATTCAGGAAGTTGGGTTTACGGTCGACACTGCCGAGAACGGGCTGCAGTGCGTGGACAAGGTCCGGGCAGACAGCGAGGGCAAGATCGACATCATTCTTATGGACTGCGTCATGCCCGAGATGGACGGGTACGAGGCGACCGAACTCATCCGCAAGATCGAGTCCGAATCGCATCCGCGGCGAGTCCCAGTCACCATCATTGCCTGCACCGCCCTCTCGCCGTCCGAGGTGCGATCGCGGTGCTTCCTCGCCGGAATGGATGACTTTGTGAGCAAGCCGATCCAGCACACGGCACTTGCAGACAAACTCCACCTCCACATGCAGAAGCGGAAGAATCGCCTTCAGCCTGCTGTCATCAACGATGCGTCGTCGTCATCGACATCGGCCGTCGTGTCGTAAACGAATCCACCGACGCTTATGCGCACTTGCTGCGTGTTTTTAGCCAGCGCTAGATGTGGTCATCATCAACAACCAGTCGTGTCTCCTCTGCAGCTGTTGTGGGAAGCTAGATCGAGTCGGCAGAGTCAGAAGCGGGACGAGAGTGTGTGCGAGTCGGCCAGCAGAGACAGTGTCGGTGTTTTTCTTTTCTCATTTTTTTCTCTATTTTTCCTTCCTCCCTCCCCGCATTGGCGAAAAGGGCACACAAATGCTATTATGGCGACTCTCCGGCGGCGGTGGCATTCATTTTGTGGCCAGGTGGCGAGGAGAGCGAGAGCGACAACGGGCACGGAAGGGGAGGGAGGGGAGGGGGGGGGGGGGGGACGGGGCAACACTTGACTCGAGCCAAAGCAAGAAGAGACAGAGAAAGGGTTCAGGGGAAAGTCTAGCTGGTCATGCCCAAGCGTCGTGTCGATGACGTTGCGGAGGAAGAGCGCAGGTATGCCTCGGTGACCGCCGAGGTACAAATGGCGGCTGAGAACAAAACGGGCCAAAGTGCCGGCGACGGCATTGGCGGTGCTGGCGGTAGTGCTGGCGGCGACGGCGGTGGTGGAGACGGTCGACGTGTGCGACGGAAAACATTGGCAAAATCATCGACGGATCCATCGACGGACCCATCGACGGACCCATCGACGGACCCATCGACGGACCCATCGACTTCTGTGGCGCCGATGGATGTTGCCGCTGCTGGCGGTGGTCCTGCATCGTCGTCAAGCACGAGTACGAGGACGAGAGCAAGGACAGGGGCACGGTCTGGGGCTAGGCAAGGTGGGGGAGATGATGGCTTGGTGATGGCAAGTGGTGGGCAGGATCAGCAGGATCAGCATGTTGATCTTGATGATTTGGTCAAGGAGCGAATTGCCCACGCTGAGTTGGAGCGTGCGAAGCAGAAGCAAGCTCTGGCCCAGGCTCTTGCCAAGGACGGTACGGTTGTGTGTGTGTGTGTGTGTGTGTGTGTGTCTGTGTGTGTGTGTGTGTGTGTCTGTGTCTGTCTGTGTGTGTGCGGTCCGCATGGATCATGGCTTTGATGAAAGGGGATGGGAGTTGGGTGCGGGTGGAGGGTAGGCACTCGTACAGCACTAACTTGGATGATGAACTGTGTTGGGAACGTGTGGCGCGCACGCATCAGATGCCGAAGCTGCGGACGATGGCGATCCAAAAGCAGGCACTTATCCGCTTGACGCGCCCAAGGCCGGAGTGGTCGAGAACGTGACGATGTACAACTTTATGGCGTTCGACAAGCTGGAGGTGGACCTGGGGCCTAAAGTCAACTTTATCGCGGGCTCGAACGGGTCGGGCAAGTCAACGATTGTGACGGCGCTGATGGTGGGCCTGGGTGCGTCGGCGGCACGGACCGGGCGCGGGGCGTCGCTGACGGCACTGGTGGGCGAGTCTGACGAGACGGCGATTGTGCGCGTCCGGCTCAACAACCGTGGGCACGGGGCGTACCGGTTCGGAACGTACGGTGAGAGCGTAACCGTGGAACGGATGCTGATCAAGGCGAACGGCGGGTCGCGGTACCGGCTGATGGGCGCGGATGGCAAGGCGAAGAGCAGGGAAGCCAAAGAGCTGCGGGCGATGCTCGACCACTTTTGCATCGACATCGAAAACCCGTACTGCGTCCTCGACCAGACGACGTCGGTCGAGTTTATGTCCAAGCACACGCCAGTGGATCTGTACAAGCTGTTCTTTACCGGAAGTGGTCTCCAGAAGCTGGAGAGCAACGTGGAGTCTGCACGGCGCGATGTGACGCAGATGCGGCAGACGTACGACCACAAGGTTGCGCACGAGCGGCCAGAGATTCTGAAGAAGCGTGACGAGGCACGAGTCAAGTTTAATGCAATCAGGAGCCAGCGCGAACAGTTGCTCGCGCTCAACCAAGCCAAGAGAGGGTACGCGTGGGCTAGCGTGCGCGAGTTCGAGGTGTCGTGCGCCAAGCGGGCGACGAAGATGGAATCCATCACCTTGAGCAAGTCTCGGCTCATGGCCAAGCTGAAAAAGTGCCAGGAGCGGCTGGAAGCGGCCCAGGCGGCCAATGGGAAGGCCGTGGCCAACATCGAGCGCATTGGCCAGGAGGTCAGGGCAACGACCGAGGCCGTCAAGCAGGCGCGAGATGACCTGCGGGTGGCGGAGCGTAGGAAGATGATGGTGAGCAGCAATCTGAGAGGGCACGAGGCGACTCTCAAGGACCTGTCGCTCGCAAAGGTGTCGTTTGAGCAGCAGATTGCCGCAATCGAGAACAAGATCTGCGCCAAGTCAGGCTCGCTTGCTGTGTACATGCAGCAGCAGGAGCGCGACAGCGTCTTGCTCGGCGAGGAACTGAGAGGAGCAAGCGCGGAGCTCGAGGCGACCAACGCGAGGTACCAGAGCGTTTTGGCCGAGAAGCACGCTGTCAGTGCACTGATGGAGGAGGCCAAGAATGAGCACGCGTCTGCGAGGCGCGAGCTGTTGCACATCAAGGACGAGAGGGCGCAGCTGGAGGCATCAGCCAACAAGCGACTGGCACGGTTTGCGCCGCGGCGCGGTGACGTGGTCCAGCTGGTGGCGATGATTGACAAGGCTGCGTCACGCGGCGAGTTTACCCAACATCCGCTGGGCCCGATCGGGCACATCATCAAGATACAGGGTGGGAGCAAGTGGCTGAAACCTGTGGAGCATCACTTGAGCAAGGAGCTCATGGCGTTTGTAGTGGCAACGCGGGAAGACGAGGGGCTGGTGTGGAAGCTGTCGCGCGCGTGTGGGTACATGGCCAAGGTAACGACGATCCGGACGGCGTTCCGCGACGAGGTCTACGACACGCGCAGCCGGCGGCCAGGCCAGGGCATCCTCACCATGCTCGACGTGATCCGCGGCCCGGCTGTGATTCTCAACGTGCTCATCGACATGTGCAGCATCGAAGCGCACGCGCTGGTCGAGACGTCCAGCGACGGCAAGGCATTGATGCACACCGGGAGCGCGAGCCGGCGAGCGAATGTCCGCGCTGCGTGGACGCCCAAAGGCAACAGGTTCGAAAATCGGAACGGTAGTAAGATACATTACCGGGCCCACAACCGAACGCTGCTGCTCGGCTCGATGTCGTCGTCGCTCGAGGGACTCAAGAAGCGGGCGGCCGAGGCTAGCGCGGCCAGGGAGCAGGCGGCCGAGAGCTTGCGGAGCATGCAGGCCAGAAGCGACGCCCTGGGGCACATGTTGACGAACGCCAAGCGTGAGCGGGATCAGGCCACCACTAAGGTGACTTCGCTCGAGAAACAGCTGGAGAAGTTGACCGAGACCGACGACTCGCTGCTCGGCGACGACCTTGCCTCGGAAAAGTCGCATCTTGAGCTCGTGCTGTTGCGTTTGGCAAAGGTCCAGGCGGCGGTTGAGGAGCAGCGGGCAAAGCTGGATGAGGCCGAGGCTGAGGCGGTGAGTGCGAAGAAGCAAATCAAGGAGCTTTCGGCGCATCGGACGGAGATGGCCAACGAGACGCGTGCGGCCAATGAGGAGGTCTACAAGGCGACGGAGGCTCTGGTCTCTGCAGACCACAAGTTGAAGAGCTACCAGGCGAAGCTAGAGAAGAACAACCAGAAGCACAGTGTTACAAAGGCCTCTCTCTTGGAGTTGGAACGCAAGGTGAAGGACATGATCAAGGCTGCGCAGAAAATGGGCGAGCGCGTCGAGACGAAGCTCAGCCAGAGCGAGGCACGAGACGAGGTGGTGCGGCTTAAGGAACACCTCAAGCGGCATCGCGACAGCTACGGCGACACGGCGACGATTTTGGCCAACTATCGCAGCTGGCGTGCTCGGGTGACGTCCATCGACAAGCACCTCGCCGAGGTCATGGCCGACATGGATGCGCTGGAGGCAACGATCAAAGAGCTCGAGAAGCGCAGAGACAAGTACAAGCGTCAGGCCAAGGGCAAGATCCATCGGCTTTTGGCCGTCTGCTCCAAGTCTCGGCGTTTGTGGGTGAGCTCGACTTTGACGACGACAGGCGCAAGCTCAACCTGCTGGTCGCGGTCAACAACTCGCGTGACGGGACGAAGCGGCCGGTCAAAGACCTCTCTGGAGGTGAGCGGTCGATGGTCATGGTCGCGTACCTCCTTTCGCTCTGGCATGTCATCGGTGGGCCGTTTGGCGTCATGGACGAGGCCGACGTCTTTATGGACGTCGCCAACCGAGCGGTATCCATGGAGATCATGGTCAAGATGACCCGCAAGCAAGTCGGCATGCAGACCATCTTTCTCGTGCCTGACGCCACAAACGTGCCAACCGGCGAGGGCAACGACGACGTCACCATGTTTGTCATGCCTGGCCAGGCGCAGCGGTAAATATGTGGCCGATGCGTGGGTGGAGAGAGGCCCAATCGCCCTCGTTTCCTGAGCTGATCTGGCGGCAGCTGCTGTGGCCGATGCGAGCGTGCTGATGCCAAGGTGGACGCCTACTGAATGGCCATAATGCGACCCCATGACATAAAGAGGTAGACCGCAGCTGTTGCAGTCCCCCAGATAGCGGCACTCCAGCCAGGCATGGGGAACTCGCCCGATGTGTATGAGGCCGAGAGGACAACACCAAAGAGTGAGCCGAGGGCCAAACCAGTAAATGCACCGACGATAGCAAAGCCAAAGGGAAAGAGTAGTGCAGAAAGATGCTCACGAAACGTATATAACGCCACACATCCAGCCATAAAGTAGATCTGTCCCGATGGCATTCCATAATTTCCATAATGAGTATACCCATGCCCATCATGCATGACATGACGTAGTGCCTCTCCCCCGACTCTCTCTCTCTCTCTAACACATACTGTTGTGCACACCACAAGCACCCACACCATGACATGGACCCAGATGTCAGTGAACGACACCAGAGTTCGGGAGAAGATGTCGTCGAGCATGTGGCTCTCTCTCCCGCCACCGCTACCGCCTCTTCTGCCTGCGAGCTAGCGGCTCTGTTGGGGGGGGGCGGCAGTAGAGGGCTTGTCGTCGCTGCCACTATGAACACTACGAGAAACAATCGAGAGTTGATGAGTGCAACAAGAGACAATCGATGAGGCTGTGAACGATAACCTTAACGTGTCACAATCGATGGACGATCGCGATCGATAAGACCAACGTGCTACAATCGATAAACGATAAAACTGACGTGCTACAATCGATATACGATAAAACCAACGTGCTACAATCGATGTACGATAAAACCAACGTGCTACAATCGATAAAACGCTGTCTCAGGTCAGTTGCAACGCTGGCGAAGCGACGGCAGTCGACTCCCCCCCTCACCTCTCCCCCCCCC